TTCAGAGAGAGAATGCAGATGGGCATTGAATAACTCTCACCCTAAGGAATAAATGATTGTGCAGAGTTACACTGCAGTAGAATAGATTTCTGTTGTGCAGCTCACATGTTCTGCAAGCTGAAAATGCTTCCCAGAGTGAGTTGCTGTGAGAACTGAGCTCAGAAGTTCAAGATAATATCAGTGTAGTTTGTATTCTCAGTTTGCACATTTGTGGGGTTTTGGCTGTTTGGGATCAGGCTTACATAGGAACCTTTCTTAGAGTCTTGCTGCAATTCAAATCAGATGAAGTTGCCGGCAGCACTAATGATCAAACCCAAGTATCGTTTTCCTGTTAAAAATCATTGCATTTTGTTTTCTGCTTACATTTCTGCTTTAGATACTTTGGCTGCAGTTTTTTTCATTTCTTCCCAGCCTGGAGGAAATTTATTTTCTTAGCCTGTGAGCTCGCATATTGCTGAAAATTAACTTAGGAGAAATGATTATGCTGGTGTTCTTTGCTTTTCATTCCCTCCCCCTCCTCTGCCAAGTGGCGGTTTTATTATTATTATTATTGTTATTTTAAATTCAGATTTAACACAGCTCAGTGTATGCCTGTGCTGCCTGATTGGGTTTTTTTGAGCTCAGTTTACATGGACTTGCTTGGGGATGAGAACCAGAATAGAAGCAGTCATTCAGAGCAAGATGCAGGCTGACAGGGAAGGTAATTGTCAGATGTGTGTGAGAATGTGTTCTGGCAGTTACGCTTTTTAACTTCTTCCTCATGACAAAAGCTTCGCTGTCTCAAGGTCTTAAATGTTTGTATTGAGCAAAACAGAGGAACCTGGGGAGGCAGTTCAGATTAATTAGACACGTTAGAATTGTTTTCTCAGTGCTTAAAGTTGTTGCTTGAGAGATATTTATGTTAGAAATTCCTTCCCTGACAGGTACAAATAAACATTTATTGTAGGTGATGGTAAAGAGAGATGCCCCTGCAAGCTCTGGCATTTCATTTTATACACAGAGCAAAGGCATGGGGGTCCAGTGTGCTGATTGTAATCCCTAGGTCTGAAAAATGTTCCTTTTTGAAAAGCCTGGAATTCCTGTCTTCTTCTGGACACTGCTCTTGGGGAATCTCCGCGGTGCTGTAGGTGTGTTTGTTGTTCTGCAGATGCAGAAGCTGGAGTTGCTCAAGTGACCCAAGCTGGTGGGCAGTGGAGTGAAATGCTGTCTTTTGTCTGATTTCAAGGCATATCTTCTTTTAATGCCATTACTTACCAGTAGGCACTGTGGACTTTGGTCTGCTTGAGTGTAAGGTTCTGAAAAGCTTGGGCAGGTATCATCCTGCTTGAGACAGAGAGGATTGATCCCACACCTTGGTGTCAGTGCTGTCTGCCACAGCTCCAGTGTTGAGTTTGGCAGTCTGAGTTGAATATACTGTCTTGTCATTTACCAAGAGCAAATTTTGTAGCTCCAGTTTTTTGTGATGGTAAAGAAATGAACAAAACCATGGAGATTTCTAACTTGATCTTCTAGCTGCTGTTGCTACCACAAGGCTTTCATAGACCAATTCCTTTAAAAGCATCCAGGAGGCAGTTCCAGCCTGGATCCTGCAAGGGTCAGCTGCTTGTTCTAAGTGACAGAACTAATCTTAGTTGGAGCTTAGTTTGGACCGCTGTTGGGTGGTTTTATTAGGACTTGGCCAAGAATTTCAGTTCCTCTTGTCCTGGTGCAGATTTTAGGGAGTGTGTCTTCAGAGCAGAATTAGTTCAGGAAGTATGTCCCCACTGCAGAGAGGCTTTAGCTAATGCTGTGATAGCCTAGCAAGTAGGCAAGTTTTTTTGTTTTTTTTTAAATTTATATACTCTCTTCAACTGCACTACGAGTCCATCAGAGCAAGTATCAGCACTAGAGTAACCACAGTGCATGCTTTGGTCTGCTTTATTTCAGCTCATGATAACAAGTTCATCACCAGCAATTAGTAAAACAACAGTGACTCTTGAGGTATTTTACTAATTGCTGCCTCTCAGACCTTTGGAAATAGGTTGGCAGACCCTTCTGGCAAAGAAAACCCAATTCCAATGTATAAAAGAGGAGAGGAAAAAAAGCAACACAAGAATTTTTCACTCCTTGCCTTACTGAAGGATTCACATTATGTAGCATTACACTGTGTTGTTTATATAATCTGCTTTGTTTTCATTTGGGGATGTTCAAAGGGGACTTCAGTGTTGTAGTGAGATGTGCATGAACAGCTGACTGGGACTTCAAAAGCATTTGTGTCGATTGAAAGTTGGTTTATTTTCCACGTGCCAAGAATCAGTTTTGTTTTATTTAGATGAAACTAGATTATGGCATTGAAAACCCAACTGTATTAACATTCTTAAATAAAGCAAGTTGGGAAGTGATGTTACAGTTCAACTAATTGTTAATTATACAAATATTGTCACTGCATATTTTCTTAAGACTTTGGGAATGTTTTGTGATGCACTAGATTTGGAGAGTTTTTATTCTGAGGGGAAAATAAGCAGTAAATGAGTTAGGAATGAAGATACTAAATAAGGCATTTTCTTCACTTGGAGGCATGCTTAAAATTGATTAAATATTTGCTTTCAAGCATTTAATCTTCATCCTTGAGGCATGAACATGCTACCTCTGTCTTTCTCCTTTAGGCTTGTTGTAAAACTCTATTCAGGCCTTTGTGGTATCTTACAGAATGGGTAATGCTATGGAGGATCAGCATCCCTCTTTTGTTCAAGTCCTGCTTTTGTCCTGTTCTTCACTTGACATAGCCAGAAAGAAGGGCTAATGGTTGCTGAATAGTAGCTTGGGATGAATTTGAGGATTGAGCTTTTCAAACCCTGAGCTTGCAACTGTCATTGCTGATAATAATCTACTCCTTCTGTGCTGTTAAAAACCAAAACAAAATAAGAAAAAAAAAATCCCTGTTCTGCATATCTGGAAAAAAAAAGGAATTCTGTTGGGTTAATTATTGAAAACAAAAAATGTAGATTGTTTTGTAAGAAATATGGGATGTTTTCTTTTAAGTATTTCAGATTCAACTCTCTTAAATTTCACTGTTCTAATGATTTATCAAAGATCTGGGATTAAAAAAGAAAGAACTTGGTGATTTTTGTGATTTTTTTTTCTAAACTGTTCTCTACTCTGCAAAAACAAACATGTACAACTGCAATACAGTTTAAAAGGAGGAAAACAATAGTTACCCTCGCCTTGCATCCCAGAACAGGCTATCTGTGTTTGCACTATCATAACAATGCAGATAAATCTTGTGAAAATTTTAAGGTCTGCCTAGGGACCTGCCTTATCTGTAGCTCTTTAATTCCAGGTAATTGATTGCCCCTTCTGAGATGATTTTAGGTTTACTGGGTGTAGCACTTGAAGAAAAGTGCTGCAAGAGTAGTGAGTGGTTAGGAGGCACTACCCTTGGGAAAAGGGGAATTGTTGGATGGGAGAAGCCATTAATGAGAGCATCTTTGAAGGCACAAAAGCAAACCCTAAACTGAAACCCAGTGCAAACATCCTGAGGAACAGCTGTGGAGTTTCTCTTTATTTGAGCTGGGCCCTGGGAAATTCCGTTTGGGAAGAAAAGTGTTAAGACTTGCTATTCTACTTCTGTGACGGCAGTGTTTGATAAAGAGCTGCAGAAGTCACATGTAGCATTTCTGCTTTGATTACCTATTAAAAACACATAGCTTGTTTGGTAGGCATTTTGCACTCAGATAACTTCTGATGGGGTGATAGGACATGTTTTATTTACAGTAATGGACTCGCATTCTTCATTTCTCTGTTCTCCTGAAATCAAATTCCATATGCTGCTCTATCCCAAATCTTGATTCCCACAGGCTTCAGCTAAAACATGCAGTGGTATCACATTCCTAGAAGCATGGCAGAGAAGAGGTGTGGACAGATGTCTACAGTGATCATACATTTACTGCAGGTTCTGCATCCAGGAGGCAAATCTTGTCTGCAGAGCATGCTGAGGTCCCTTCTTTGGAGCAGGGGAGTGGGGAAAGCCTCCCTGGGGTGCCAGTGTTAAATTTATTTTCAAAGACCTTGCAGAATTAAATTAGTGTTTTCAGTGCCCCTAATTCCACTTTGGTAGGACAGTTTTTTGCTTGCCTGCTGGACACTGAGCCATGTTATTCCTCAGAACTGTTTCGCTGCTAAGGCATAAACACTGAAATAAATCCTTGCTCAGTACATCGAGCAGCTCTGGGTATTTTCCTCCGGGAAGGACGCAAGCACAGCTTCCAGCTGTTGTGTGGAGGTGTTGCCACAGGATGGGGCTGTTGCACTGCCAAACGGGATCTGTCACCTCCGGGAGCCGCGACCGAGCGCTGCTTCCAGCGCTAACCTGAAACCCTGCTCCCGGCCCTTCTCTTCATTGTTCACCAGCCCATGCAGCGGGCCTCGAGTTTATCCACTTCCAAGAGCTAGGAAATTTGGAGTAAGGTGTTGTTGGCTTGCTAAGAGTAGATCAACTTTGTTTCTTTTAGAGGCAGCTTTGTACCATATGACAAGCCCAGGTAGTGAGGTAATAATTCACATAAAGGGGATTTGGTTCACGTATCACCGAATATGTTAAATATTAAATTTGGGGGGGTTAAGCCTTTATTAAATCCATATTTGTGTTTTAGAAATGTGCCAAGAAGTGTTCTAATGAAGCAGCACCTGGGGGTTAATAAATGATATCATGAATCCATTCTGATTGCCAAGAAAGATTTTAATAAAGGAAGCCATGCCCAGGGTTGACTCTTTCATCCGTGAGGAATAATTGTTTTGTTTCCATATTTCTTTTATTGGTTGGTTAAAACAAGTTTGCATTTTAGCATCAAGTCATTTTTGGTTGTTCTGCATGTTTCAGTACCATTTGCACAAAGACCTGGCCCCCAGTCTGCTGATTGTGGGAGGTGTTATTTTGATTTCATGGAGACCTTGCATCTTTTACTGCCTTTCACATTTATCTCGTTGCTCTTTTCTTTCTTCTCTTCCCCTCAACTATTCAGGGTGAAGTGAAGTCTGAGGAGGGGCCAGAATGGAATATACTGCGTGATGACTTCATGATGGGAGCATCTATGAAGGACTGGGACAAGGAAAGCGATGGAGAGGGCAACACTGAAGAAGGAGGTGGTCTGAAACAAGAAGATGACAGTGACTGAATGAAAATCATTCAAGATAATGTTTTATCTTCTTAAGTTTGTTTGGATAAAAAGTCAGCATTCTATGAATGTACAACACTTGGAGGATACCTCTTTTAAAAGGAAAAAAAAAAAAAGACTTACACAACCTTGGAGTGTTTTCTCCTCCATGTCAAACTTTTATTTAATATAGCTCCGTTTGCTATACTGAAATCCTGAAATATTTTCCAAAACAAGTATAATTTTCAACATATTTCCAAAACATTTTGTACAGTCAAAATAGTGGCACTTGCCCAATGAAAGATAGATTTTGCCAAGGTCATTAAAAGTTTACACATTAGTCATGGCAATTGATGTATTAGTGTGTCTGCATTTCCAAATCACTGCTGCACTTTGAAAAGTTGTTGCAATTTGCAATAGAAATGGCTTACAATAAACACAGAAATGCCCTCACCTTGTAAAGTTATTGGGCTCCTATAGAGTCTTTACTACTTTGGCCAGAAAATGTTCTGTAGATAATAAAGGAAAGTAACCATTCATGTGATAGTTCTGGTCTAGGAGCATTAGTTTGATTGGAGACAACTCTGGAAACAGAACTGTAAAGACAGAGACTTGACCCTACTGATAGGGTTTAGTATTTATATATGTATATATATGGTTTTTCCATTGCCAGTCTGAGATTGTATAGGCTAAGAGTCTGGTAGGAAAGAGCAGTCATTGTTATTTCACTGGGGAGGGAGATTTTCTAACAATACCACAGAAAATGGTGTTCAGTGTTGCTTCATGTAGAGTTATGGTGTTCTGGCCTTTTTCAGTGAGGAGCCAGAGCTCTGAGATTGATCCTGTGGGTTTAGGCAGCTCTAATGCTAAATCCTCAGGTGTGCAAAGGGTCAAACCAAAGCCCTTCCTCTTAGTGTGGGCATAACAGTAACAAATTTGGAAGTCATCTGTCAGAATAACACAATTGCCTTTCTTTAAGCTACAGCAATTTCTCCTCAGTAGTTGTTGGTTGCAGAGGTGCAGAAGCTAACACACATAAGAATATATTTTGTGTAAGCATATGCAGGAGGAATTGTGTGGTGATAAGGGTGTTCTAAATGAGAGGCTGGGGTTGAATTCTGCTGCCTTTGCTGTTCCAGACTGACTGTCTGATGCTGTGTCATTTGTTTAACTTTGCTATCACATTTCCCCATTTGCTACATGAAGAAAAAGCTTTGGGGCCCATTAATTGATAGTTAAAATGCATGGTACTGTTCTGTCCATTTCAACAGATGCCTTACAGACAAACCTTTCTTTGTACCTGCTTATAGGCAAGATATGATTAGGAGCTACTTTGAAATTTTCAGTCTCCAGCATGGAAATGTGCAGTAGGATTTAGATTTTTCTAACAAAGGCATTGTTTGAACTTCGTGTGTACTGCAGGATAAAAACTATGGGTACAAAATGGCAGAGAACCCCATCGCAACAACTGGCAATCATTGTCTCGTCCCTAGCCTATTCATCTGGTATATATTGTAGCATAATTCTTCCAGGAGAACTCCAGGCTAACAGCAGAAATGTTTAGATTTTCAAGCTGTTTTGAGTGTTAAACATATTAGATATCTGAGGAGACATTAGTTTGTGGCCTGATATTTATTATCACAAATGAAGGCATACACCCAAAATACCAAGTGGCAAAACCACACAAGTTTGACATATGGTTATCCCATCTTCTGAAGGCTCCACATCTGTACAGCTGTGCAGTGAGAGGCACCATCTCATGAGTGCAGTGCAGAAACTGCTGCAATGGGGCTTGAGTCCATGAAGCAGCATAACAGTCTAACCTGACACTGCTCTCTCTCTCTACAGAGTTCAGCTGCTTTCTGTGGAAAAATTACATCAGCAGCCTTAAATCTACAGTTGCTCTCTAGTTTCATATCAGCAGTTTCTTTCCATAATCAAACTTCTGGAAAATAATCTTAAGTTTTCCTTAGGAACTGTGACATCCTGAGGTGATTATTAAAAATTTCAGAATGCTTTCCAAATACTTTTAAAATGCTTGGGTGTTTATTTGTGTATTTTTGGAGTAATGTTTTGATTAAAGCACTGAAGTGAATCTTGTGTGTTTAAGAAAAATGTGGAATCTATCAGTATTGCCAAAAGTATTTTGAGCTTCCATTTCATTTAGAGGGCATAGCCTATAAGGGGAGAGCATTTCTTGCCTTTTAAGAAGCATAGTAATTACATTTTTATATATTTATATTGAGTAGGTTTTTAAATTTTATACTGTACCTTGTCTTTGCCTTGTCCTTTTTTTGTGCCTTATGCCAAGAAGCTCTGAGAGTTGCTAAAATTGCTAACTACATATTTTGATTTTAGACTGCTTTATTTCACAAGTTCTGTTTTTGTTGACTAGAAGTTCAAAAGATCTTCTTTGGCCCAGGCACCTTCCAGTCTCTTCTCTGGGCTGCCCTACCCCCTTTTTCAGTAATGTTCTTCCTCTTCAACAGCTACCAAGAACAACCTTCAGCAGCCTTTCCCAGCAGTCAGAGTGCTCACTCTGTTTTTTCTGCTCCCATGAATATCTCTGCTCAAGCAAAGTTGTGCTGCTGCCCTTCATTCCAGAGAGCATGAATCATCTCAACTTTGTATATTTCTGTACCTATCTATATAAAGCCAATAAGGATGGGGTGGTTCCAGTTTTGTTAGGCTTCAAGCCAACTCCAGAGTATGTAAAGTTTAATATTCTATGGATTGCACGCAAAGCAGGAGTTTTGTTTAATAAGAGAAGGCACAGGGTCAGCTCTTCCCCATGTCTCTTGTCCCCTGGTCTAATTTCTCCTCAATTAATTGCGCTAACATTTTTTCAGCAAGGAAAGCATGAGTTGGCCTATGGAAAAAAATAACTGTCTTGCCCCTGCTTTTCTTCATCCTCCTGTTAGGGAAACACTTTGAGAGTGGTGATGGAATAACCTTGTTGTGCCTGATGCCGCTGTACCACAGCATCATCTCTGCTGAAACCTGGAGGGTAGAGCTGCCACTTCTGCAGCTGTGAGGCAGATCATCCTGGGTTCACAAGCTGAGCAGGACAAAAGAGCTGGAAGCTGCTTCCTAGTGAAGATAGGGCTTTTTTGTCTGATTTGTTTTAAAGAGAGAAATTAAATGTTTGGAGGCCATAAAAGTTTTTTGACTATCTGATGCTTCCAGAAGAAGGTGGTCTGTAGAGCTGCATCTGTTCAGAGCTGGCTCAGTAGCTGTCTCCAGGGAGGAAGGCAGAAGTCATCTGGCACAAAACACTCTGCACAACTGAAAATGACAAGCTTCTCATTCTTATGAAATGAGTCCTGGCACAGTTAATATACACACAGAGCAGTCATCAGTGTTGTTCACTTCCAATCCCTGCAAATTGCTCAATGATTTCTTCAAGACTTGCTGAGGTAAGGAGTGAGAGGGCCAGGAGAAGGCTTGAGGTAGTGGAGGCTCAGGATCATGTTACACAGATTGGGTCCTTGTGCTAAATAAGTTGTTAAACTCGGGAGTCTAAGACCTTAGACACTGGAGACTGAAGAAGGTCTTGATTAACAGATGGTGGAAGACTGTACATTGCATTTACTGCTGTTCTAAAGCAGTGGCTTCCAACCACTTGCAGCTTGTAAACCTCCAGTGTTTCACCTCTGTAAGTGATGTAGCAGATCAGGGCTTTTTCTTAACCATTCTTCTTCAGACTTTTAACAATGGCTGATCCTTAGACAAGGCATTTGTTTTCAAATGCATCTTTTTCAATTGCTTTTCTGTCTTAAGGGACATGTTAAAAATGAAACTCCAGTCAAACTGAGTACCTTCAGCACGAAAGGTCGTGTGTAATACTCCATCTCTTGAAATCACTTCCTTTTGCTTAAATCCATGTGTTTAACCTGTTGGATACAAAATTGTTAAATTAATTAGGGTTATTTCGTCAAGCTTTTGGATGTGAACTCATGAGCACAAGCAGTTTCCAAGAGGCACTTTAGGGGGTTATTTTAGGAATACTCATAAAAAGCATTATTTCTTCACAATGCCACAGTTGGTTCAATAGCCCATTCTCTCATGCCAGTGCATGAACTTTTGGAGCATAATTTTACAACATTTTCCTTGTGTTTCTTCACTCTGTTTTCGGTAAATATGGTGGTGTTCACTGTGAACTGCTAACCAGGATCAGACTTGCACTGAGGTTTTCATACCACTAGGATTTCTTACTTAGATAGTGTTCTCAGAAGTAGCTGAATAAATTATTAGAAACAGTTCACCTACAAGATAAGCTAGTTACATTTCTTATCAGAAACTTCATGCCATAATTAAGAAATGGTTAAAAATAAAACCTGCTGATGTTAGTAGTTCTTTAAGTCATGTGTTGAAGGCATGTATGATCATAAGTAGAAGGTAACAGGGGGTTGTTTGCCATAATTTAAAAATCTGAAGTACTTAAAAGATTCAACTAGCCAGTTAGGAGCCCATTGTAAAGTGCATTAGGAATATAATCATGGAGATTGTGACTTAAGCCTCATAGCTATTCAATCACTCTGGCTTTGAACTTTGCTTTTCTATCCTGATAAAGGAGAACATTCTAATCTTGTTCAGAACAGAAAAGCTTAAAAGTGTTGCTTGATTCAAGCAACAAGATAGTGACAGGCTTTCCTGATTATGTGGATTTTGCATTGACTTTCAGGTTGAGTACAGTTTATCTCAAGAGGATTTTCTTTGGTTTTTAAGTGATCCATAAATTGCAAGTTTTGTGGGCAGTGAAGCAGCCTTTAACTTAGGGTAGCCTATGTCCAGGGACAAGAGCTGGCCTGTATCCATTTCAGAAAGGGTGCCTGAGGTCAGGCAGCTGAATGAAAACTGTCACTGGAGAGTTGGGAGTTGAGCCTTTGCCATACCTGCCCATGGCTCCTTCCCAGCCACACCTCGCAGGGCTGCTTGGAGGAGAAGGGCAGTCAAACACACACTGTCAGTCTGCAGCACAGGCTACTCTGCACCCTCACTTACAACCCCAGCGAGTTTCACAAGAGTTCACTTTGCACAGTAGTGCAATATTGCTGCAACGGTGTAGTTTTCTACAAAAGGTAACAACAGTATGGGTTTTATGTGGATTTTTTAAAGGAGTGAAGTATTTGACAGTACCTACTGAAATCTGGTATATCTTTATGATTATCCTTAATTAAGAAAAGACTTCATAAAATTCTGAATTGTCTCTTCATGATTAATAGAAAAAGATTGGAGATTTTTCAGAACTTCAGACAAGATCCTCAATTTAAGGATGCATTACTCAGCCAAAACAATGAATTAGACCCAAGTATAAATATACTTCCAGTGTGAACATTGACCAAATTGGGAGGATGATATATTGATACTCCTTCTTGTGGATTGTGTTAGAAAGGTTCTGGTTAGGCCTTGGAAGATGCTGAACATCTTTCTGATGTTGTAGCACTGCAACCAGCAGGTCAAACCAGGATTGCCAGTGCCACTGCTGTTCTCTCCATCTGCTATGTTTTGCCTTTTTTTTTTTTAACTGCTGGACTTATTTTAAATTTTAGTGTCATTTCCTAGAATTAAAGAAGTGGAACATATCTTATGTGAAGAAGATAGACACATTTCCCTTCTTACTTGAACTTTCTATGTCAATACTGTGCCTCCCAGACACAGGCTGTTGTCTTTATTTCTCATTCACTTCAGTTGTTGCTGAAGCACATTGCTGGACTATCTGTCTCATGGTGAATTAATTGCTTTTAATTTCACAGGACTGCAGGGATGAGCTTGTGGACTCAGGTCCTTTATGTGAGACACTACTGCGTCTGATGCACATTTGCAGCCAGTTTGTAGGCATTTTTACATTCTGATTTAATTGTTGGTATGGTGGATGTTCAAATGACACTGGAATTTGTGAGAGGAGGCATTTCAGCTGTCAGTCAATGTCCATGATGGGGAAGCTTAGAGACTGGTCCTTAGAGCCCAGCTAAAACCAGGGGAGTAACCTATTTAATTGCATTCCCATCTAAAAGATCATTGATTGAGGAGAAGAAAATATTGAACATCTTTGCCACTCCACAGAGGTGGCCTGTTCAAGATCCAGCTCTAAAATAATCTGGATATGGATCAAAAGTACTGATACAGAAATAGATCATTCTGTTCTAATTCTAGATGGAGTCACCAAGCTCAAACCATCTGTCTGGGAGGATGTAGTTTGATCAGCCATTCAGGATTACTGCATTCATTGATTTCAGTAGCCAGGCATAGAAAATTGGTTTAAAAATTTGTAAGGCTGAAAGGTGAAGACCTCTGCACTGATCTGATGGGTGCAGCACAAAATCTTGGTACTGCGTGAGGTGTGGTTTGGTTGTGGGTTTGGTTTTGCTTCATGAGGTAATAAGAAACAATGCATTGCTCTCTGTAAGCTTTCTAGGGTGTTCTTGAACACGTGTACCATTAGGGAAAAAACATTTCTGAAGCTGTGTTAGCGTATTAGAGTTTTTCATCTGTGCAGACTGCATAGGCAGCTTGTGAAGAAGTCAGGATGTCAGACCCAGAGCTATTTGATTTTGTAGCTGCAGAATATGATTTAAATATGGCATTACTACTGGCTGGCCCATTATTGAAGTTGCTGCCAATTAATCTTGCTATACATGTAACAACAGAGCAGTCTGGGTGCACATTCTAACTTGAGTTACATGGTTTTAATTTGTTGAATAAACTCCAGTGGATGCTCTGTTAGGAATCCAATATTTACAGATATCATTTGTGTGTTACTTAATGAGGTATAACCCAAATCATCACCATGCAGTTCAGAAATAGAACGCAACAGCTGTAATTCTGAGAAGGAGATGCAGGTCACGAGTTCAAACCTTGAGATTAAAGGGATGACTTTTACCCTACTGTCTTTACTTTGTCATGCTTGCTATAAGTAGATGTCAAGGCCCTCTGGTTTATGAACCACTGAGCTTATATTTCTCTGTCTTATTTTAATTATTTTTATTTTTAGTTAGTGAATCTGATCATTTGCCTCTCCTGATATTTAAGTCTTACTGACTTAAGTGGAAACAGGATTTCCTGTGGTGATTATAACCACAGGTGCTAGGATTAAGGAAGGCCTTTTCCACAGTGGCATACAGACTAAAACTGGAATGATGCATAGAAGATTAGTGTGGCATCCTCAAGGCTGACAAGCAGTTTTAGGAAAGCACGGGAGGGGATCAAACTCTGGGAGATGTAACCATGGGGAAATTTCTTTGGCAAAGTTTTTATGAATACTTGAATCTGAACTTATTCAACTCTGGAAATCAGCTGTTGGAAGCAGAAACCTCTCTGGATGCAGCAGTGATGTCTGCAGCCTTTATGGGAAATGTGTATGTTTTTAGCATAGAGGGTTTAGGCTGTTGATGCTTCTCTAGACCCCTAATGTCTGGCTGTACTCTGTGGAGACAGGGTGCAACTTTTCTGGAGAGAAGCTATTTTAGGAGTTGAAAAATGTGAAGAATAACATAGCACTGAAATACAGACTAATGGTGATGAACCTTTCTGTTCCCTTTTCTTCTTTTCCATAAGAATTTTTTCCCTTTTCCTTCAGATTTTAGTCATTCTGGCTTGAGGTCCTGTCTAAAGTTCCAGTGCTGTTGTTTTGGAGTTTTTCTGGTGGTCTTTGGTAACAGTTTTTTTGGGTTAATTGCATTCTAGATGTCTTTTATTAAGCTGCAGTTTTAAACACAGACTATACACTGCTGTGTGGACATTACAGCTTTGTGTTCTTACTTGATGGTGGAAGATGATGCCATTCCATAAGTTCTCAGAGATGACACCTGAATGGCTTTTTGGATCAGATCCTGTTGACTACTCGTGACTGTTTCCACTGAAATTATTAAATCCATTTGTAGGAATGAGAACTTCTTTTATGTATATAGATATTTATGTATGAATATATATATTTATAAATACACAAAAATATATGTGTGTCTATAAATAAATATTAAAATAAAAGTTCTTATTCCTGTTTGATATTTGTTCTATATATATTTAAAAGAAGTTCTGGCTCACACAAATAAATTATCTCTTTATATATATATATATATATCAGAAGCATACCTTTGATTTGTAAGTTGACAAGTAGTTGCATGTGTATATATGGGTAGCAGTCTTGCATGTCAAACAGCATGTTCTATAAAATGGCCTTCTGGAACAGGAGTGCTGCAGGAATGGGCTGAGGTTGTGTGAAATGCAATCCTGGGCCAGTGGGGCTGCTTGTGTTAGTAAGGTCAGCAGGGTTTGCTCTCAAATTCATCCAGGCGTTACAGCGCGCACTAATGAAATGTGCAGCACGGAGGTATGGACTTCTGCTTCACTAAGGATAATAAACAGTAAAATCTAAGGTTTTATTGTAGTATATATTACGATTTTCCATTATTTGTCATCTCCTCTTTGCCTCACCTTTATTAGGTGTCACCTTGGCTCTCCAAGTTGAACCTATATATGTGTATTTTTATAAAAAGGAGAATTCAAAAGTTTTTTTTCCCTAGCACCCTGCATCAGAATGACTGAGATTCTACACGACCACAGTTATGGCTGCAAATTTCTGTGCGTGCCACAAAGAATTAATTGTGCAATCATCCTACACTCGTCATCAGTGTGAGAATTTACAAAAGTCACCTCTTAACTTTTAAAAGTTATACCTCTTCCAACAATGTTCTTTAGTTTATGAAATGTGACCAGCCACCTTACTTAATGGCCTGGTCGTCAGCAGTTTTAGAAAGATTATTGCCTTTGTATTTTGCACAGCGCATTTGCGTATAACCAAAACAATCTAAAAAGAAACCACAAATTGAAAAATCCCAACCACGTAATTTTTAACTTAATAGGAAACATGAAACCTTTACATTTAGTGAAGTAACTTTCCAGGTGTCCCTGTTTTTCTAATAAACAGTCAGTGTTTATTAAAAAAAAAGAATATGTAAAAAAGACAGTATTGTATTGAATTAAAAGCACCAAAACAGATAAGGTCTGTTCTTTTCCCATAGGCACACTAAGGTCCCATTCCCACTTTCTGACTTACAAAGCTTCCACTGACAGCAGCCCCACAGGACAAGGCCATTTCATAGAGGCACAGGGAAGAGATAAATGTAAGCTGAGTTAACCTTCAGTGTCTGATAATCCCAGCAACTTTTGAAACTAACAGGTAGTCATCAGTAAAAGCTGTTGTGGAATGAATAAAAATGAAAAAGCTTTGCAAGATAAAAGACAAAGCCATAATTGGGATAATAGTCACAAAATGAACAGTAGAATGTAGAAGCAGAATTACCTCTGTAAAAGGTCATGTTATAGTTGAATTCTGTGATATAAGACTTTATCCAGCTTTGTTGAGTGCCTGCAGTTTGGTTCTGCCATTTCTGACAATTTTTGATAGCCTCTTCCGTGTGTTCCTCATTTGAGCAAGGTAAAAAATGACACCTGTTTGAGTCTAGTTTGCAGGACTTCTGTGGCAAAAAAAGCCTCCTTAAATGTGCAAGGGGGAGATTTTAGAACTAGGACCAGATCTATCATGATGTATCTGTTCCAGGTATTTTCCATTTAGATTACATAATGGAAAGTCGATGTTTATGAATGTGGATGTGTATTTGAATGATTTGCCTAGCAGGTAGGTTTCCCTTCCTGGAGCAAACTGGAGCAGCTCAGGCATGTGTGGTGGGCTTCTGCAGCTGCTGGGGATTTATCCCAAGTGGCCAGGGCTTTTGGAATGGAGTATGCATGCCCGGGAAGTTCTGCATGGCAAAAACATCACCATGGTGACGTTGGGAAGTTTTAGGGAATCCAGCTTTGCTGCAGTCATAAGGCAAAATGGAGACATGCACCTGGGTAAGCCTGACACTCCGTGACACACTAAAAGGGTCAGAAGAGAAGCAAAGGGTTTTTCTCAGGTGAGAAAAAACCCAAGATATATCTTAATTATTTTATTTTTTTTCCTAGATGGTCTAAAGGACACTTAGGAATCATAGCCAAATCAGCAGGAATCCCAGCAACTTTTAAAATCTAGTTGGACTGGTTTGCTGTCAGCCTGGCTGGGTCCCTGGCAGCTTACAAGGAGAGCTTCTCTGGAGCTGGGACCCCCTGCATCTCCCTGGGCAGCGAGGCCAGCTGGGCACTGAGCACACGGGGGCTGATGGCCTCCAGCAGGGCATCCCTGAGGCACACGGTTTGTGGAAGGCACTGCAAAGTTTGGGTTGGTTGGGTTTTTGCCTTTTTCCCCCACCAATAATAAACTTTCAAGGATCAAAACACTTTGTAATCTGGCGGGTTGTGTCTGCAGAGGGATCCTGAGAGATGGGGCGAGTTCCCTCCCTGAGGAGGGTGTCCAGCGCTGTCCCAATCACTGCTCTGAAACCCTCAAGGTGAGTGGCACGCAAAGCCAAGTGTTACAGGGCTGCAGTTGCTGTATAAGGAATTCCTTCATGGTTTCAGCTGTAGCTTTTGGAGGAAATAATTTAATAACCCTTTTCTTTAGAAGTATTTGCGGTTGAGGTACCTCGTGTAACGGAGCTGATTCCTCAGCTGGCTAGCAGTGGAGCCGTGAGATGTAACAGCTCGAGGAACTGTCCCCTTGGTTTTGTACAGGTGTGCTGCAGAAGTGAAACCAGCTGAGTCTACATGTTGAGCTTGCTTGTTTATTTGAGTAATTTTGGAAACGTTGCCATTCCTGACACTGCAGCTGTGTTTTTGAGGTCAGCAGGAGCAGGACATTGACATGCACGGCAGTAAAAGAGTGATGTTGTGGCAGAGAGGTTTAATCTGGCCTTGCAGGAATTCATGGATTTAAGTGGAGAGCAATATTAACTCTTGCATCATGAGGATGCAATCTTGGTTGCACGTAGGACTGTACATACCCACGTGCTGGTAAAGAATTAAGTTTATTTTAGGGTCTCTGTGTGTACACATACCTGTCAAAAATATATTTTCATAGCTCCTCCATCTCTCAGAGAATGCCATCGTTGCTGGTACCCACAGCAATCCGAGGTTAGCTGGCCATGTTGGCACAAGATTCCCCTGCAGCAGAGCCCTGCCAAGGCAAACAGCATGTGGCAGCTCCGTGCTGCTGGGTGCCTCCATCACCCCAGCACACAGCTGCTCACAGGAAGCACTTTTCCTTGCTGGGAAGGAAAAACTCACATTTAATGTGGGGACTGGCAGTCTCCAGCTTTGGAAAACAGTTGAAAATTTTGCAGAAAGAAGATTGTTCCTGAGGTGTGGTCAGCTGGAGGAAGCCTTTGGTGGTGTTGGGCTGGTTTGTGTCTTGTGTGATTCTCAGAGTGCTTCCAGGTCCCAGTCATGCTACCTCCTTTCTCCTGGGTGTGTTTACCCAGGAGAAAGCAATGGCTGAATTGTTCTTGGTAACACCTATGGCCCTTTGAGTACCTTTTGTACATCTTTTTTCGTCTCTGAAAATAGAGGTTCTTCGAAAACACCCTTGCCCCACTTAGGGTGATGTTATTGGAAAGTTCTGGCAAGTAAAACCTGTGATAACTTAATTCAGAAGGGAATGTAAAATGGGTGAGAGTAAAGAAAAAGGCTACTTGATCACTTTTTAAAGTTAATGTACAGTGGTGATAAATGAACTGTAAAGGAAAAGCTTTATGGCATTAAGTTGAGGGATGCCTAGTAGACTGTGTAGTGATTTCCCTAGGGCAGAGTAGGGTATGGACAGAGGCTGTGATGTTTGTTGGCCAAAAGAGGCAGCGGAAAAATTGAATTACAGGCATAGCCAGAGCATTTGGGGCTTGAGAGTTTCTGTCAAGTGCAGATGAGGATGTATTTGCACACTTCTGATGGGAGAGGAGACCTCTGCGAAGGAGCAAATCCTCCTCATCTGTGGTCTCTCTCTCCTTGGCCGGTAGTACCGATTACCGAGGGATCCGGGGAACAGCGAGCATTGCCCAAAACACGCTTAGAAGTGAAAGTGAGGGGCAGTGCCGAAGAGCGTTCTGTGACAGAGCAGCGGGCAGAGCTGCCCCGCAACACTGAACAGGAACGCGTCAGAGCGGTGTCCAAGAGGCGTGTTATTCCTCCTCAAACGCCGGAGCGCTATTTGGCCCAATTACTTTAATAATAGGTGCAAGAAGCACTAAAGTCTTTATTTTAAAAAGAAGTAAAATAAAAGCCTGGCAGGACTCGCTTTTCCTTCTCGGCTACGGGCTGCCTCGCCTCTCCTCGCCCCGGGCTGAGGCACCTCG